TTTTAACTTCTCCCCCAGCCTCCCGCTGGCCTGCAGCAGGTATACACACACACACACACGCAAGTGAAAGCTGCTCTCTCATTGGCTGTTGGCGATCGCTGATGTTATTTTCAGTCCAAACTCATTTCACACGGCATGATTTGAATCGCCGACAACTCCAGATATTTAGCACGCCAAATATCTCGCAGGCATCGGCGACTCATCGGCGATTCTCTCAGATCGCGTCGTTGATAGTTCATACTGTGTGATTGTCACTCACGTGCACGAGCACCGATTTGCCTGTGATTTCAGGCATTTGTCAGCGATTTCTCAAAACCTGTCGGCGAGCCGAAATCGGGGCTAAAATCACGCAGTCTGAACTAGGCATTACTGATTTATGTTTTTGTTTTGACAATAAAGTGCATTAAACCAATCAGTCTCATCTCACATTCCCTTTAAGAGTCAGTTGTGTCGCGCCATGACGCATTTGCTATTTACATCGCAGACTTTGTAAGTGGAAAAACTGAAAGCTTCACTTGCGAGTTTAACAGAGCATCCGCAGCGCGAGGATGAAGAACGACTTTACCTTTACCCTTTACTTTACTCCTTTACTTTTATGGATAAGGAAACGGTGTTGTACTCCCTCCACTGAAGACATCCATCAGCCTACATAGAGCTGCACGATTAATCGAAAAAAAGATCACGATCTCAATTCGACCTCCTTGACGATCTTAATCCAGCATTTCTACGATTCTGCCAATTATATTTTCAAGGCCAGGAGAGAAGCAAAGGCGGCCGCACAAGTTTTCACGTTGTTTTACATCTGTTGCTCAGCAACATGGACACCTCCAAATGGTGTTTAAAGAGTCACATACTGTATTTATAAAGTATGATTCACCCCAAAATGTCATTTCTGTCTTCATGAAATGATGTATTCGCAGACGCGAAATCACACGTGACGTGAACTGACCATCAGCTGTTACTACAGAGAGGGCGGGCATGCGCTTGCTTTGGAGAACAAAACCTGCATAGGCTGTGAATAACAGGTAATACTTGTATAGCTTGTTGCACAGAGTGATCGTTTGGGAGCCGCGCGAGAAGTATGAACAGCACTTAGCAGTAAAACTGAAACCGAAAGCGTGCACATGGCATTTTAGAGTAATGATTACGACAAACATTTATTTTGTTTTTCTTTCATAGCAAACACAGATTGTTGTGCATGAGAATAAATGTTTACTGTGTCAGTTTGACTACTCTTGCTTATGTGATGTTGACTATATAGAAAGTGTGAATCTGATAATAACAAATGTCTGATTTTACCAGTAGGAAAAAATGGTCTAATAATGTTGTCAATGACAGATTGCAAGCACATGTCTCAAACAATAATTCAAATTAAGTCTATTCAAAATTGAGCATTTTAACCAACAGTAGACCTACCTATAATATTATTATTGTTTTACCATATGTTTGAGAAATAAAAATAAGACTACTTATTAACCTTTACTTTCCATCTACAGAATCATGAGAAAATCGTGATCTTTATTTTAAGCAAATGAATCGCGATTCTCATTTTAGCCAGAATCGTGCAGCTCTAGGCCTACATATTTAATTTTGTTTGTTTAGAGCAAAGATTTGTTTCAAAACTGTTTCTAAATTCAGTTCTAATTTCCAGCAAACAAATAAGTGAACAATAATAATGAAGTGTGGTAAAGAAAAATATATAATTATTAAATAGTTATATCAAAAAACACATTCTTATGCCCCATATGGTGATGCGTACCTCCCCAAAACACATCAGATGGACAAATCTAAACTTGATTAGAATTTATAATAATTACACTTTATTAAAACAAATATAAATATGCATAAAATGAAAAGTATTAATAAAAATAAGATTGTACATCTGCAAATTGTCATGAATAAACAGAAAAAGACCCCCGAGGTGAAGCATGGAGGCAGTGTTTTTTATATTTATGTGGTAAATAATAATCTTTGTAACATTTTAATTTTTTTTTTTTCATTTGTTAAGATATTTGTGTGTTGCTGTTCATCCTGTGTGTATTAAGCAATGTGTAAGTGTTTGAACTTGCATAGGAGCATATCTAACACACTCTGTGCTGGACTTTAGAGCAGTTTTAGCTGGTCAATTGTGCAGTATTTTTTACTTCCACAAAACAGCAACGCACCAACAATGCACCTTAACACACCTCCTTTCTAGACCGGCACACCCATGAGTCCATAAAGTGCCGCAAATGGATTTGCTATTTAAACAATGTAGTGCAAAACAGGAAAATTAGGGTTGCGCTGGTCTGAAAATAGCAACAAATCACACCAAACACATCTTGCACCTCATTGCGCTGGGTGTATGATAGGGCCCTTAATGATGATGGAATTACATTTTGCTGATATTTTGATGGCATTCACAAAAGTTATATGAAACATTAGACACTTTACTGTGAATTCAATATGCCCACAAATTATTTTTTAAACAATTTTTACATTCAGCAAGATACCTACATATATATTACATATATCAACATTCATTCTAATTAGCTTTGTCCCTTTAATAATCCGGGGTCGTGAAATGAACCGCCAACTTATCCAGCATATGCTTTACACAGCGGATGCCCTTGCCGCTGCAACCCATCACTGGGAAACACCCATACAAACTTGTTCACATACATACACTATGGACAATTTAGCTTACTCAATTCACCTATAGAACATGCCTTTGGACTTGTCGGAGAAACCAGTGCCCCAGGAAAAAACCCACGCAAACACGGGGAGAACATGCAAACTCCACACAGAAATGCCAACTGACCCTGCCGAGGCTCAAACCAGTGACCTTTGCTCAGCTACCACGCTGCCCCAACACATATATTACATATCTTCAAAAAAAGTCAAAACTGGTCGTGGTTATCTTTTTTCAAAAAATGACAATTGTTAAAAATTACAAATGTTTACATTTACCGTGATTCAAAATCAGGAGTCTTGAAAAATAGTTTGTTTTAACTCTCCTGATGTTAAAACATTGGTATTGTCTTGTCTAAAGTTAATATAAGCATGTCTGAAACAATGGCATCTTTTTCATATTTTGTGCAAAACATATGCACTAAATGACAACTTTTTCTTTTTAAATTAGGAGGAAATGTAAACTGTAGTTCACAGAATAAAGCAAATATCACGTTTAACTCATAACACTATCATCATTTGTAGCATTTTTAAAGTAAATTGTGACACAAATTGTAAATTGTTACTGAAGAAAAGATGCGAGAACTCTCAAGTTTTGATTATTATTAAATGCTTAAAGAACAACGTTTATAATACAATACAAAATGTGTCAGGGGTGTACAGAACAAAACATATAAGACAATGTGTAAGTATGCACACTAACCGAGAAGGGCCTTGTGAGATTACAAAATCTTAAAGGTTTCAAGTAAAAAAGCGGTTTTGGTGGCTTTTTTATGAGTGATTTGCTTTATGTTGTATGTAGTGTTTTAATTCAATTAGTATAGCAGAATAAAATGGTTTTTGGTTATTGAATTTGCATCTGTGAATATGGTACTTTGCAAATATTATCAAAAGATTGATACAATAAGCTTCTTTCTCTATTTTTTTCTGTAGTTTAAAAACCCAAAAATAATATGTTTGTATTCTAAATGAAAATTTGGCAATAATTTGTCATTTATGAAATTGATCATCTCGGACCATATTTTCTTCGAGAACTGGCAATTCACATAAATTCTCAGGTAGCCTCTTTTCCCATAGCTGACATGACATACTGTACGTATGAAGCAACAGTGTAACGTTACTTATTGTCATGTTGTGCCCTCTTTTGAAGACTCACTGTAATTACATAATGAAGAACAGTACAAAACGTCCTTTCCATTGAATGACTGTGATTAATTCCTAGTATTTTCTTCCACTAACGTTAATCACAAACTTTCAACGCAGCTATGACGCGTTAACTTACAAAACAACTTACAAAACCATCGTCAAATGCTAAAAAGCACAAATACTACAATACTAACGAGTGTATTGGTGATTTATCATGGTATTACAGCTTTGTTATTTGAATACTTTAAATTACCATCTAATATGAATATGGAAATCATTTAGTATCACGTAGAAAAGTTACGTTACGCATTGCCTACCATCTGATCTGACTCAATGCTATTACAGGCATAATACTTTTTGTACAGGAGAGATATATTGTAACGTATAAAAGCCAAATGTTCGCTTTTTGTTTACGGCTATAATGGGGGATTGACAATACACGACTAGTCAGCGTTATCATTGTAATTTATTGACAATACAACGCAAAAAAACACAAAATACACACATACCTCCGGTTAGCTGCCTGGAGAGCGGAGCACAGCGCAAGCTTACGTCATATTGTGTTGCCAGACGCATATCCAAAAATCCCTCGCTGATGTTATCAAACTACTAACAGTTTGACTCAACAGCTCAAACTAATTTCTTTGTTGAAGTATTTGATATGCGTTAAAATATTTAAATAAAATGAAACGACACGTTTTATTCGTATATATTTATTTACAGCGGTACTCGTCGTCAAAACTGAGGATGCGTGATTACGTGCGTGCTGATTGTTCTTGTTTATCTGGCAAGCATAAATGTTACAAGGGTGTAGTTGGAAAAGGGAAATACGAGCAATATTAAAAGTTCACCAAGTTCAAGTGCCAAGCCGAGACCGATATGTCTTGGTTCAAAAAACGTAAGTAAAACATTTTTATTTCCCATTTTTGAAACGCCTTCCTGAATCAATTTATGAAATAACCCTAAAATCCCCCAAAGACATGGCTAAAATGTGGCTAAATGCACATGCTCTATCACTCACGCTAATGATGTCATAGTGATGTCACGTTAACAAAGTGAAATAGGAATTTAAAAAAATTATTACATAAACCTCCTTCTTAGGGTTTAATCTGAAAAATCAACAACTTGTAGACAAACAATCAAACAAATGATCAAAAATGTAGAAAAACACAAGCCTGTTGTCATGAATTTAATAGAAAAACTGTTTATTCACTGAATAAATATTACAACAAAATATTAAATATATATTTTTTAGATTTAAAGAAAAGACTTTCACTTGTGCCTTCAGACAAGTTTATAAAAACCACCATTTAGTCAAGATGAACCACAAACAGGAGAAACATTTAAGTCAGAGAGTCATGAGAATGACATGAATAGCACAATAATCCCATTTATAACCATGTTAAAAATCAATAATATAAAGCTTAAATTGCCTTGGTAAAGAGTTCAGTTGCCTATAAACCTTTGGCTTTGTCCTGATCCATGTATTTGTGGTAAACAACACCGAGAGTGGTGAAGAAGTTTCCCATGAACAAAACGAGAAAAGTAGAGCCACACATGAGAACCTAAGAAACAAAAGAAGACATTTCAGATTGAATTGATGTGATTTTTAGTGGAAAATTGTGTTGTGTAAATATGCTATTTTATGTTTTATTTATTTAATGTTTATGGTTTTTGTTTGTTCAATGTTTTATTTAGCTAATACCTCCTTGATAAAGAGTTATACTTAAATTTTTTACCTGCCACTCTTTCCATTCTGGAAGCTGAGTCATTTGGAAGAGTGTAATCCCATTATAAAGCTGAAAAAACTGGCATGCAAAGTAAGACGGTTAGAAACACAAGGTACACAGCATATAAATAACAGAACTGAATCAGAGCATGCATATTTACATTTCACATCAATAATAAGAAATCTCTGCGAAAAGTTAAAGGCGTTTTGGTCACCCACTGAAGCCTGCACGGCAAAAAAATGTGGTGAAAAATGTGGAAAAAAATCATTAAGGAAATCGATTCTGAACTGATTTTTTTAAAAGCAGATGGCTAGAAAATTGTTTCATATAATTTATAGGTAGAATTTACACTTCTAGGTATTTATTAAGAGACCCCAATTTCCTGAGGCCCTAAGCGACTGCTTACTAGAACTTCTATGTTAAGCTGCTTTGACACAATCTACATTGTAAAAGCGCTATAGACATAAAGATGTATTAATATTGAATTGAATTACTGGTTATATCCACCTCTGCATAAAAGCCAACTTTCAAGATGAACGAAAGAAAGAAAATCATTCCTAATGAGCATTTACATTTATGGTTAAAAACTAGCCTAGAGCGCCACCTGCTGTTAAGTCTTCATGGAGCTTTGTATGATTAGATTTGAACCACTGAGATCACTTGGAATTTTCTGACAAAGTTTTTGGTTTCTTTTCTGGACTTAAAACGCCTCGGGACATCTTTATATGGAGGATGAGGGAGCTCTCAAATTTCATCTAAAGTATCTTAATTTGTGTTATGAAGGTAAACAAAGGTCTATGAGTGAATCACTGAATCATTAATTGAAAATGAGAGTAAAAAATACACATGACGTGTTGTACAAGATTATAATGTTAAAAACATTTATACATTTAGCATTATCAGCAAAGATCACAGTATTTAATATTTTACCTTTTCTTTTATTCAGCTGGTTATTTCTTGATTTTAATTCTTTATTAAAATTACAAGTTTTAAGTTCTGTTTGTTAAAACCAAACGTTTCTTGCAGTGCTGTTTTGGTAATAAATGGAAATCATATTAAAAAAGGAGGAGCCTTTTTTTTGCTGATCCAAATCAATGATCCGATCCATGACTCAAAAACCATAGTGTGATCCAAACCATGAGATGTGATCCGTTACACCACTAGTAATTAATTGACATAATTTTCTTTTTTGGGTGAACTGACCCTTTAAAAATGTATCAGCTATTGTTTAAAAAAATCTATTTCCCTGAAAACAAATAGAGGTTTTCATTCCGAAACTACCCAGCAGGCACAGGTCATCAACATGACTACAAATTGACGTTGTACCCCAACATTGTGTGGACGTTGCATTTTGTTTGGAAATGAAAATCAGGTTGACGACAGAACTCAAGGTAAGACGACATCAATGTGCAACGTCCAACCTGAAATCAACCAAATATCAACACCTAATGATGCTACAGTTGACGTTGTGTGAACGTTACCACTACGACATCTATTATACATTATATTTTGGTTGCTATAGCTGACGAATAAACGTCAGTATTTGACGACAATATGATGCTAGTGTCATGACTGTCAGTGACCACCTGAGGGCGCTGTAGTTCAACGGACACTGAGAGTGAACTACAGCGCCCAAAAACTACAAGTCCATACATACCACGCGCATTACATCCGGTCCACGTACACTGATCTGCCATCACAGCTGTGTCTGTTTACCGTTGATTTCCTGGACTATTTATACAACCATTCCACCTCTGTTTGTTACTGCGTCGTTTGTATATCTTGTCATCCTTGGTATGCTGTTCCTGATCTTGTTCTTGCATCTTGTTATAGTCTAGTTCGAGTTAATCTGTCTTAGTTTCTTGTTTTGTTTGTTTGCCATTTTGTTATTTTGCACTTTGCAATTTTGGATTTTTTGTCACTGTTTCTGCACGATATTATATTAAAATCTGCACTTGGATCCGCACCTTTTGTTCCTGTTTAATCGCGTAACGTGACAGTTGGTTTAAGATGTTGGTTCGACGCTGAATTTTGGTCACTTTCCAACACAACTTAAAATCAACCAAATATCAAACATTATTTGACGTCATTATTGGACATCAAAATAACGCTGTCCTTGGATGCTAGAGATGGAATTTTGGTCACCTGACGTCACGACCTAAATCTAACCAAATATCAAAGTCTTAAGACATTGTGTGCCTGCTGGGTAGAATCTATCGCCTTACTGAAGAACTTTTACCACAATGATTTTATAAAACAGGAAGTGAGTGTAATCCAAGATGACGGCATTTATTGCAAAAAAACACAAGATTAGCAAACGCAATGTCAAACTTACATGGCCCAAGAAAAGGAAAGGCAGGAGAAAGGTGAGACCCCTCCACATCCAAGACTGAAACCCCTCTGATAAAAAAAGATAATTGATTTAACCTCAATATAATGAGGGAAAACCCAATACACTTAATACACAAATACACTTCATAAAACACGTACACATGGACATCACCTATATACTATATAACTGCAGGTTAACTATGTTTATAAATAACTTCAGCTGTCAACAGCTATTAGTTACTAGTTATTTAGTTAAAGTTATTAGTAATTAATAAAATTATGGTAACTACAAACCTTAAGTTTTCTGAATTTGATTATATTGCAATAATGTGCACCTTTTGTAAAGCTGCTTTGGAACAATAATTATTGCGAATTGCACAATATTGGAAAAAACTGACATTACAATGTTTTATTTTTGTGAGATGCATATTGCAATATTGAGCATAATTTTAACAGATAAAAAGAATCGCTCAATTTGGAAAGAATTAATCATTTTAGGATATATTCGGATAAATATAGGATTATTTTGTAGTAGAGTGCATCTATATTACATTTGATAATCCAAATAACAAGCAATGATAAATACCGTAAAGCAAAGTTACAAAAGAAATAGATGTTTTATGGATTTTCTGAGTGTCTAACAGTGTTCAGGTACACAAATTGAACAATTAAATGTAAAATAAATAATACTGTGTAACCTTCATTGTATGTATACTGTATTAATCTGTCTTGAAGTTACCAAACCTTAAACTGGCTTGAAATGCATTCACAGTCTTTAAAACACATGCAAATGATAAATTTTTTTGGTAACTTTTTGGTTAATTTTGCAATTACACAACAGTCAAGTGTGTTTTCAAGTCCTGCTAAGTGAAGTTTCAGAAACTAATTTCGAGAGGAGCGCGTGATATGATTGAGCACGACTGGCTGCTCATCTGTAATCGGTAATAATCCAATCAGAGTGGTCCAAACTTACAATAAATAGATCGTTTTACTACTGCTCTATCTTCGTTTTGGAAAAATCCCCCCTTTCACCCCATCTCTTCCTTTTCCTCCCTTTTCTAAGGGGAGCTCTTGATACCTACCTGATCTCGGATCCCCTTATATGCTTATTAACCGGGTGAGAGCCTTGGGCTTAAGTATCTCCGAACTCAAAATTCTCTCCAGGGACAGCATGCCAAACCTGCTATTAACTCTAAGGATATCTAAATGGGAACTCTTAAAACTATAATCCTGATTTGACACTGCAGATCCTGCGATGTAACTACTGCAATATTGATGCTAAAAAAATATATTGTGCAGCCTAATTGTGTAAAGTGCTATACAAATAAACTTGAATTGAACTGAATCAAAACAAAACAACAGACTACCCACCAACCGTGAGGTCCATGTTGTGTCTTTCTCCAAGAGCTCTAAGTCTGTATAAGCAGCCACTCTGGTAATAGTACTGGAAAAACTGAACAAAATCTGAAAGCAAAACAACACAATAAACCATTAAACATTGACTAATTATAATTATTATTACACTGAATAATAATAATTATTGGTTTAAAAGAGTCAGCAGTTATGATCTTACTTATATACATGGAGTAAGACAGGAACTGATTTCTGAACATCTGATACAGCTCGCCATCAGGCCTGTGAGACACACACACATATTCTCACACTCATTTTCCGTTTTGCTGTTGCTCAGAAGTGTGATTAATTCTAATCACATCATCAAAATATAATTATCTGATTAATCTAATGCACATTAAAATACTTTAATTAACGCAGTTCGGTTTCAAAGGTTGTTTGCTTAATAATATCTACAGTAAAGAGTTATTCATACCAGGTCAGCATTACTCCAGAGAGAAATGTTGAAACATAGTGTTGAAACACCCACCAGCCCTTGATCCTGAAACAAAAGTCAAGGATTTAAATGTTATCATATAACCAGTAAGATCAGTTAATATATGGCAAAAAATAAATATCATGTGCTCTCTAAAAACAAAGGCTCCAAAAAGGGATATATGCAGTGATCCCATGAAAAAATCATTCTGAAATTCCCCAAAAATGAAACTCCCCTTGGAAGTATTGCAAGTATTTCACTTTTTATTGGCTGTGTGTAAAATGCTTGGAACAAAACTTTAAATCGAGATCTTTTAAGGATTAGTTCACCCAAAAATTACAAGGATTATATTAATTATTCACGTCATTCCAATCATTTCGTTCATGTTCAGGACACAATTTTAAGACATTTTAGATGAAATCCAAGAGCTCTCTCATACATGACAACAGCTGCTCAAAGTCCAGAAAAGAAACCATATACGCTGTCAGAACATTGCATGTGACTTCAGTGGTTCAAATGTAATCATAGGAAGCTCCAAAAACACTTTTGTGCACCAAAATACTTTTTAAAATGCTGTTCATCTACATCTTCAGCATCAGATTTGAGTGTGCATTTAATCTTCACAATACAACAAGAAGTTTTTTTCTTAAGTTTTTGGTCCACAAAAGGGTTCTTGGAGCTTTGTATGATAAGAGTTGAACCACATGTAATGTTCTGAGAGTATTTTTATATTCCCTAGTATTCTCTAATTTCATCTAAAATATCTTAATTTGTGTCCTGAAAATGTTTTTTTAGGGAAAAGGTTTCAGGGATGGTTAGCATGAGATCAAATCAAATAGTTAAGTAATTAATAACAGAATTTTCCATTTTGAGTGAACTAATCCTTCAAAAACTGGATCTTTAATGATTAGCCTGCACCAAAAATATTCCCTACCATTTTGTCAAACTGCCACCCTATTATAATATTTTTTATATTTGCATTCTAGTGTTCATTTACAAATGTGCATTTAAAAAAATTATATTACAGTTTTATAAATAATGAAAATCTAGAATAAAGAAAAGTTACTTTTTATTATTATTATTATTATTATTATTATTAATGATAATAATAATCCAACTTTTGGCCTTTTGAACCACCCAAAAACCCCCTTGGCTACGGGCTTGACTATTTAATTTAACTTAATAAATTGTATGAAGAGAGGAATAATTATATACAGTTGAAGTCAGAATTATTAGCCCCCAGAATTATTACCCCCCCTGTTTATTTTTTTCCCAATTTCTGTTTTACGGAGAGCAGATTTTTTCAACACATTTCTAAACATAATAGTTTTAATAACTCATCTCTAATAACTGATTTGTTTTATATTTGCTATGATGACAATAAATAATATTTGACTACATGTTTTTCAAGACACTTCTATACAGCTTAAAGTGACATTTAAAGTCTTAACTAGGTTAATTAGGTTAACTAGGCAGGTTAATTATGCAAGTTAATTTTGTCCTTAAAATGGTGTTTAAAAAATTTAAAACTGCTTTTATTCTAGCCGAAATAAAACAAATAAGACTTTCTCCAGAAGAAAAAATATTATCAGACATACTGTGAACATTTCCTTGCACTGTTAAACATAATTTAGGGAATTTTTAAAAAAGAAACAAAATTAAAGAAGGGCTAATTATTCTGATATCAACTGTCTATATATATATAAATTTTTTTTTTTTTGATTCACTTGTCCCCACCAATGTCAAATGCAAACCTACGCCCTTGATACTACACCATTGGCGCCAATGTGTACTCAACTTTTGAAAACATCAGTTGCACTAACCTAAAATGTCTGAAGCTGAGTGGACAAAAAACTCTTGTGGAAATTGGTACTAAGAAATAATACATTATCTGAACAAACAAACATAGTTCAGTTGAAAAAAAACAGCAAGGCATGATTCACATGTGAAGCATTACAAAGCATTTTTCCCTGTTTGTCCTGCCATGTTTTGACCCTTGTCTTTTTTTACTGTTAGTGTTGTTTTACCATTATTGTTTATTTGTCCTGTTTCTAATTCTTTGTCTAATAAATGTTTAGTTAACATTTGTCTCTGTTTTCGTTTATTTATTTATTTTTTTTCAATGGAACTATGTTTGTTTGTTCAGAAAATGTATTATTTCTTAGTACCAATTTCCAAGAGTTTTTTTGTTTATTCAACTTCAGAAATTTTAGGTTAGTGCAACTGATGTTTTCAAAAGTTAAGTGAACAAGAAAAAGCTAAAGGAAATAAGTATTATGTTTGTGTTGTTGTACTGGCTTAAAATGTTTTAGTGTGTCTATGAAGGCCTATAGACTGATTTTTCGCTTATTAATGTTTCTTCGGCTTAGTACCTTATTTATCAGGAGTCACCACAGTGGAATGAACCGTCAACTATTCTGGCAAGTGTTTTTACACAGCGGATGCCTTTCCAGCCACAACCCAATACTGGGAAACACCCATTCACACATGCATTCATACACTTCAGGCAATTTAGTTTATTCAATTCACCTATAGCACATGTCTTCGGAATTTGGGTGACATCGGAGAACCTGGAGGAAACCCACTTGAACACGGGGAGAACATGCAAACTCCACAGAGAAATGCCAACTGGCCTAGCCAAGACTCGAAACAGCGACTTTCTTGCTGTGAAGCAACAGTGATAACCACTGAGCTGCCCTAGAATAATTTTTATGATTTTTAAAAGAACCTTTATTTTTTAAGAGCACAAGCATATGATTATTCTCACTTAGACCCATTATTAATGAGGATGCTTTCTCTTATCGTCAGTGTACAATAGTACCACACCAACAGGAAGTTGAATAGTGCATCTACAACCCTGTCAAAAGAGGGCAAAAACAACATTTCATCATTCTCTGTTCATCAATCAACTAATCATTTATTTAAATTAATAAATTATTTAAATAAAGCATCAATGAAAAAGGCAGAGTTCCAATTAGTGTATGGTTTACATTTTTTGTGACCATTTTAATATATTTAGTAGCCTAAAACGTACCTGTAGCTGACCAAAAACCGGCAGGTGAATGAAAAAAACAAGAGCAGCACGGTCAAGTATAGTTTGAATTTCTCATACTCGTCTTTATAGGCAAACCTGTACAAAGGAGAAGCAGGCAAATCACATGACTCAGGATGACTCATTAACATTAGAGCACTTCATGATATCACAGTGTTGAAACATGACGATCACAAGTCAAGACCATTGTGGATTTTAAAACGCACAGTTTTAGAAAGAACTTACTTGGATTGCTTGTTAAGTAATGTGACGTTCACATTTCCTAGAACAAGACTGAGGTATAACCTGGAATATAAACAAGGTCAAATATTTTCTATTAGCATCAGGTATTATTCAGAAATCATTGTATGTGCTGAACGAAGTAGATTACAAGTCCAAACACCACTATTTATGGATCTTTACCACACCTTTAGTCCATAGTAGTTTAAGGTGGACAGTGTTTTAGTATAATGAAACAGGCAAATACAAAGTTGTATGATCTACTTTGAATAGTCAATGCTGATAATGTGTATTTGAACAAAAGGTGTGTCTGTAGTGACCTCAGATAGCTCTCATTTGCATTACCCGTTTTTCTTGGGCAAGAAGGCCTCCATCTCAAAAAAGACATTTGGTCTTTCTTTTATAGACTCTTGGATGTCGTCTATTTTATTTACATCTTCTGGATTCACCGCCCCTTTGCATCTATAAAAGAAAAAAATTGGATGAATATGGGGTGCACTTGAATATTGTTTATATTATATATTATAAGCTGATGACTGACTCCTCCAGGGATTCTGAGAGATCCTTTAACTTTTTCCTCTGCCGTGCAATGGAGGAGGAACAGCTTTCTTGCAATTTCGAAACTTCCTCCAGCTTATGTTTGTAATGTCGATGCGTGTCCTGTAAAGCACATGTAGATATATTACAATTTTGTATTACACAAACACAGATATTTTTATAGTTTTTTTATATATATTTTTTGTTAATTATATCTTAATATTATACCAAATATATTAAAATAGAATAAAATGTCTCATTTGCTAATAACTCTTAATACTTTCCCAATACTTTATTATTATGAATCATTTTAATTACTCATAATTTTAAAAAGTAAAATATAAAGGTGCAAGGCAGAACCAAAAAAAAAACAAAAAACAGTAATGCCTTAGAAGAACCATTTCTGGATCCCTAAGTAATGTTTTTTTTAGCAAAATCTTCTTTAAAAAAAAAAAAACATTATTTACAGTATAATTACATAATCTATAAAAACAACTTTTGTCCTGTATAAAGAACTTTTGTGGAATCAAAAAGTTCCATCGATGTAAAAGTGTCTTCATGGAACCACTGTTGCCATTAAAGAACCTTTCATTTTTAAATGTATGAAAAATATACAGCAGTCTAACCCATATCTAGGCCCACATGGAATCTGTGAGCGCAGAAATCCACAGATTTAGCCAATCATTGAGTCTATTTATTTACTTCTGCAAATGTGTGTAAATTTATATTTATTTAGTTGTTAAATTAGTTTTAGTAATATTATTGATTAATATGAAAATGTTTATATGATATATTTACAATACAATAATACAATACAATATAATATGAAAGACTTGCTTTGTTTACCAAAAAAAGTGGATCTAATTGGATTTGCATTGTAAACATTAAATAAAAGTCAAAAAGATATTATTTTTTATTTCATATATCAAGTTTTTGGTTACGATTCTCCCAAATACTCCCAAAGTCATTCAAAATAAATTCGCAGATATTTTACAAAATTCTCCCCAGAAATAACCAGATTCTGTCTGGCCCTACCTATAACTAACTAGCCTGTACAACTTTTACATGAAACCAAGTATGAAACCATTTTAATCTAAAGATGATAATTATATGACCTTGGTACATATATATTAAATTAGATGTTTAGAAGCTTTTATTACAATATTAACGTTATTGACATATAGTGTCTATCACAAAGTTCTTTATCCAGCACATTTAATATAATAAAATGTGTATTACACGTTATATTTGAGAGAATGTGAGTGAAGTAAGTTACCTAACAAAAGAATAGATCTGCGCTCTTCATGCCACCACTTACGTTATTTAACTGTGAGTTGGTATGGATTAAACTGCTAAGCTGCTAGAACTCAAAACTGAATCCTAACTATACAACCACCATCTATGAACGGCGATATTTCTATATGTGTATGAGTAAAAACATGATGTACACAGAATAACTGTTAGTTATTAAAAGAAAGGTGAGGTCTGTCAGAACAGAGTTGTCGAGCTATCCATCTTATTAGCACTGAAGAAAGAAAGAGCACTACCTGAATCTGCTGGTAGTCTTTTTCCAAATCCTCCCATTCTTGTAAACATTCGGTCAGGCCAGTAGGATTAAATAACATTTCCAGAGAGTGTATTTGAGGAAAACAAGAAGTGTTTCACAGATAAGAGTGAAGAGAATAACGGTCTGATTCTTGTCTGCAGCTGTCGTAACGACTCGCTATCTTTGACGGACGTCCGTCATGTGAAAGCGGCATCGCATCTCGAGTAACCAATCAGAGACCTGCATCGGGCATTCTGAAACGCCCCTCCAAGTCAACTAACCAATTGGCGCTTTAAAAACAAGAGTGATACGTCACAGAAGCCGTGCTGTTCAGCCCACTGACTGACTTGTTACAGACGCCCAAGGAGGGAATGTGAAATTTAATAACTACCAGTTGGAACTTAAGACAATATATTATTGTCACAGAAACAATGAATTGTCAGTTAATATGTAAAGTATTTATTACGGCAAGTTAACAGTGACAAAAAGGTAATAGTTATCACCACACTGTTTATGGATAGTTACATTATGAAATGCAAACATTTTTGACTGAAAAGTTCTCTTAAATGTCATGTATTTGTAGACTTCCAGCACAAAAATGGGCACATTGGATGAATTAGTGTGTGTCTGATTTTAGAGATTCTATTAATCACTCTTTTTATCACTCAGAAAATACCAACAGCCACCAAATAAACACATTTCTTACATTTCAGATGTAAAATAAAATGTTTTGTTATAATATCTCTTTAAGAAAACCTTCACAATAAAGATATGAATAAAATGACAAAGTCTGGTGTGTGTATGTGCTGCTGAAGTGGAGATTTATAAGACATTGTATTAGAAATGTACATTTCACTTCTAAAAAATGTGTCAGGGCCTGACTTAAGCTTGTCATCCTCAAAAAAAAAAAAACCCATAAAAAAAAACAAGCATAAAATCATACAATTTAATGATGGGACGGATCCTTGATCACCGTCAGCTTCTCCATCAAATAATGTCACTTGTATTGCACACATTTTATGGTAAAGTTGAAGCAAATTTGACTGGACTGACAGAAACATGGGGACACTTGTAAATTTATTTGTATTATATTTACAGAATTTATTTGTAGAATTTATTTATAACTCCCTGTTTTTAATCAATTCATGTGAATGATAACAACTTAAACTTGTTATTTCTGAAGTTTGTTTTTACTAAATAACAGTTTTTAGCATGACAAAATATTAAAGCTGTTGGTTCAATTGGGCTGAGGACAATGACAATGACAGGATTTTATTAATCACTCTTTTTATCACTTAATTATTCAGAAAATACTAGCAGTCACAAAATAAAACGTTTTCTCACATTTAAGATGTAAATTAAAATGTGTTTTGTTATCATATCTCTTTGTAAAAATCTTTACAATAAAGATATGAATAAAATGACAAAGTCTGGTGTGTGTATGTGCTGCTGAAGTGGAGATTTATAGCTCGTTGTAGGAGGAAAAAAATATTTTTGCCTTTTAAAATATGTATTCTACTGATTTAATGATACCACAGATGCCCAAACTAGGGTTCAAAGTTGGCCCTTGGTAACCTTTTGGCCCACCATCCCATCTGAGAGAGGGAGAATAATGAGCATTTTTTGTGTTTGTTTTATTGTTAAAAGCTAACTGATGAACATTAATTAAATGTTTTAATTAATAGGTGTACATTAATCAGATTTTTTTAAAGGTACATAGTGTCACCTGACAATGCAAAGACTTTGGTGAGTCAATCAAGAGCATATTCTGATTGACTATTCAGCACTGAACTCCACGAGTTATAAACATGATAAATGTTTTATTGCAATAAGTTATCATTTAAATAAGTTATACTGCATTATTTAATACAATTTTAATGTAATATAGTTTGGTATATTTACCTTCAGCTTACGGCTCTCAATGATTTTTGGTTTTTGGCACTTCATACAAAAACGTTTGGCCACCCTTGATCTATACAATCTATATAGAAGATCAGTGACTGATCGAAATCTACAGACACAAATGGAAAAAATGTAATGAAAGAAATGACAGAAATTTAAATTTACAATCCCGTTTCCCATCTATATGCTATACTTCTCAAACTCATAACGTATAACAAGACACTGTCCCTAAACCTACTGCTTAACCAAAATATAACCCGTTTAGTTACATTATATGACCCATTAATTTCTTTGCTAAGTAGACTGTAAGTACACATTGTTAACATATGGCAAATTAAAAGGTGCAACTAAAGAAACACACAAAAGTGTATTTTATACTTGACTTTGAACACAAAAGAAGATATTTTGCTGAAAGCTGGAAACCCGTAACTATTGGCTTCCATATTATTATAGAAATCAATTACAGGTTTTCAGTTTTCTTCAAAATATCTTCTTTTGTGTTCAACAACAGAAAGAAACAGATTAAGGATTGTAAGCACTTGAGTAAACAGTGTGTAATTTTAAATTTTGGGTGAACTATCCCTTTAAGTGGTTAAACCTTTATGGGTTTCTTTTTTGTTTTCTGAATTTTACTTGTTATACGTTTTGATATATTTGCAGAATGAAGTTTACCAAATTTCTTAATGGACCATGATTTTACTTAATATGCTAATGATTTTGGGCATAAATTAAGAGTGGTCCAGAGTGATATATACGGCATAAAGAAATTTAATAAAACATTTTGAAATTTGCCACATTTAACCATTTGAATCCTGCCATGTTATGTTTTTTAATTTTTCAAATGAAATTCATCTGTTATGATTATCAGAGATATAGGGTTGTTGCTAGATCGAATGCGGCTGGAAGTTAACAAGAATTATTTATTTTATTTATTAATTAAATTTTCCATTTATTGTATTTTATTAACGTTTACCCCCAGCCCAACCCTAAACCCAACCATCATAGTAATGTAAAAACAGTATGAGGATGAGGTTTATTTATTAATATGACTTAAAATGATTAATTTTCATATGAAGATCTGATTTTCCATCATCACTGACCATTAAAAATTAGTGGATTTGAATGTACATATTTTCAGTAGTTGGGCTCTGAAGTATCTGTCACCCTTTTCCCAAGAGTCTGAAGTTCCCAGTCAGAAAGTTGTTGCACAAATCCGCGATTTGGCCTCATGTTGGCTTTGCACTGCTGAATATGATTCCATGCTTCCTAAAATATTCAGAAGTGACAAATATCAAGAACTGCTTTAGCCAGTGCTAAATTAAATGACAAGAAAATGATAGAAAATACAAATAATCATCATTTTTAATCTTTATTCTTTGCCACTATTTTTCAAACCACTTGGTGTTATCCATTTTATATGATCACTTACTCTTTCATGTATTTTGTTTTATATATATTAAAATACAAATATGTTGCAATTTCACAAAGATGTCAAATTATTTAACCCATATTTCTATTTAACCTCGTAACTGTCACCCCCACTTTTTGAACAAAGACATAAAAATATGTTTAATTTAAATCATTGCCAATCATGGTGCATAGATTTAAGCTTGGTCTCATTTTAAAGAAGACACTTGTCGGATTATAGCTAAAGTGGAGAAAAAAGGTTATGTGCAAGTTTTTTTTTAAATTGCTGTAGCAAAGTAAAGAGTAAACTCTAATGAATATCCTTGTCAGAAATTAATGAAAAACTGTTTTTTAGTAACATCTATTCCAGGGGTGGCCAACCATGTTCCTGGAGAGCCACCATCCTGCAGATTTCAGTTGCAACCCATATCAAACACACCTGCCTGTAATTATCATGTGGTGTTCAGGTCCTAATTAATTGGTTCAGGTGTGTTTGATATGGGTAGCAACTGAAATCTGCAGGAAGGTGGCTCTCCAGGAACATGGTTGGCCACCCCTGATCTATTCTATCAATACCAGATTTGGAAACTAGACATTTTAATAATTTAAATTATTCATATTTGGTCATGATTGCTTTATGTTTAGACTATAATATTATGCAAATATAATATTATTAATTTATTCATTCACTTATTCATTTTCTTGTCGGCTTAGTCCCTTTATTAATCCGGGGTCGCCAAAGCGGAATGAACCGCCAACTTATCCAGCAAGTTTTTACGCAGCAGATGCCCTTCCAGCCGTAACCCATCTCTGGGAAACATCCACACACACATTCACACACACACTCATATACTATGGACCCTTTAGCCTACCCAATTCACCTGTACCGCATGTCTTTGGACTATGGGGGAAACCGGAGCACCCGGAGGAAACCCACGCGATCGCAGGGAGAACATGCAAACTCCACACAGAAACGCCAACTGAGCTGAGGATCGAACCAGTGACCCAGTGACCTTCTTGCTGTGAGGCAACAGCACTACCTACTGCACCACTGCATCGCCTATAATAATATTATTATTATATATGATTATCATATATAATTGTTATATATAATTATAATGTTATTATATTATATATTATTACTGCAAATGGTCACACAGGTTAAAAGGTGACAATAAATGCATTTTGATTTCCAAATCTTTCTAAATAATAAAAAAATCAACAGTAAATTAAGCATTCAGAAAAAGGGGATCTTTCAAACAATATATAGTTTGTCGTGATTAGATTAGCATTTAATTGCAATATAGTAAAGTAAACCTAAGTGACAGTCACGGAGTTAAATAAGATACTTTCATTGAATACATGCTTTTGACCACAAAATATTACCTTTATTGTGTATTTCAAGTGAGACATAAGATATGCCATTGCAACAGCACAGCATCTGCTTTTCCCAAGAGTAGAGAATACCAAAACTGAAGAGGCATTATTGAGATGTGAATCTGAAATGTTTAAAACACACACACAATCATGTTTAAGGCCTCTGAATTATGTAACCACTGAACCATAAATAATCCAAGTACTTACTAATAAAAACACATATCCTCTCAAACGAAGTAACCAAATCTGCCTCTGCAGAGTCTGCAACTCGGATATGCAGGACAGTGCAGTTTGCCTTTTTAAATCTATTGTGCAAACATTAGTTCATAGGTTAATTTCAAGAGGTTTTTCCAAGGAGTGCTAAAACTGAATGTACATGAATGCATGATGGCTTGACTCACATTAGACTGCAATCATTAGAGACGTTTACAATTGCATTCAACTTCAGATCTTTCAGGACTTTGAGGTTTGTGGCCTGCTTGTAATCTCCCATGTAAAGCTGGCCTGGTAAGATTTCCACAGGATACAGATTCAAGCTTTCTAATTCCTATGGATATAAGTATATTGAACATTAAATATGTTTTACGAACAACAAAACCAACCCATTTATGATTTATTAAAAATAATACCCTGATATTATAAAGAATCTTTTCCGTTCTTAGGAAAGGATAAAGTGCGGAAAACTTCTCGTAGCCCCCAGTAAGAATCTGAATGGGAAATTGGCTGGCTTTTTCTAAGCTGTCTGCACAGTCTATGGCTGGACCTACAGTATAAGGAAAATATACAGTTAGGGGGTTTTTAGAGGTGTACTAGCATTTTAATTCATAACATGTTAGAAAACATAGCAACTTACCTGAGTCTGACAGAGATTGTGTGCCGTTGTCATAAACAATGATGTATCTCATACTTTCAACCTCAACATCCACTGGCATAATAAACTTTCCTTCAAAGTCCTTTGGAATTAACATACAAAAAAAACACACAATGTTTTGGAGTCAGAGACAAGAAGATAGTTTCAAGCACCACAAAAATAATGTTTTCCCCTTCTACACTTGTATATGTCCTGTTTGATTTAATTCTCCAGAGTGAAAACTAAATAATTCAGTGTAAAAATATGTAAATATTCGTATCAGGCATAAGGATTAAAATCAAATACTTAATTATTGTAATTTACATCTTTAAACTTTGTCACTATTCTTTAAACCACTAGGTTTGTCATAAAGATGATTTTAATAATTATTTATACATTCATTCATTTTCTTATTGGCTTAGTCCCTTTATTAATCCGGGGTCGCCACAGTGGTATGAACCGCCAACTTATCCAGCATATGTTTCACGGAGCGGATGCCCTTCCAGCTGCAACATCCTGGGAAACATCCATACACACTCATTCACACTCATACACCACGGACAATTTTAGCTTCACTTATACCACCTGTTTTTGGACTGTGGGGGAAACTGGAGCACCCAGAGGAAACCCACGCGAACAAGGGGAGAACATACAAACTGCATACAGAAGTGTCAACTGACCCATCCGAGGTTCTAACCAGCTACCTTCTTGCAGTGAGGCGATTGTGCTATACTGCGCCACTGTGGTGCCCTTTTTAATAATTATAAATAGAATTTAAAAAAAGTGCAGTGTGATCACTTTTTATTTTTAAAGAACAGGTCAGGATATGTTTTTTTCTTTTCATTTCTACATAACTACATCTGCTACATTGAATCAGCAATAAACACATACAGTTGAAGTCAGAATTATCAGCCCCCCTGAATTATTAGCCCACCTGTTTAATTTTTTTTCAGATTTCTATTAAACGGAGAGAAGATTTTTTTCAAGACATTTCTAAACATATAGGTTTTAATAACTCATATCTACTAACTGATTTATTTTATCTTTGCGAGAAAAAAAATAGCTTAAAGGGGCTAATAATTTTGTCCTTAAATCGGCTTTTAAAAATTATAAACTGCTTTCATTCTAGCCGAAATAAAACAAATAAGACTTTCTCCAGGGGAAAAAATATTATCAGACATACTGTGAAAATTTCCTTGCTCTGTTGAACATAATTTGGGAAATATTTAAAAATAAATTAATTAATAAAATGGGGGCTAATGATTCTGACTTCAACTGTATATTTACAGCGTATTTTTACAGGTATTTCAAACAATAAAGTAGCCACTTTACTTGCATTTAATATGCTTATATTATATGCTTTTAAGGTCACTTTTGTAAATTAAATTTAATCACAAATTGTGAAATTTCTATAAAGCATAAACTTTGTAATGAAAATGAAACATACCCATTTTGCATTTCTGGCAGTGATGATGTGGCTAAAATTATATGATTCTTCAACGCGGGCATCTGAGGAGATAATTCTACAATTATTTATTTATTTTTTAAACAACAGCAAATATACAATTTAAACATGACATCCAAAAAAATACAAATGTAACTAATAACATAAAGTAAATTAAAATATAAATTACACAAAATAAATAAAGATACAATTATTATCTTGATTATCATTAATATTAATTTAATATGTCATGCAATCAGTGTCAAACATGCGATATGCAGTAGTTAGTAAATAACAGAGTAACTTATTATTTCCTACCAATCAGACAAAGGTAGTTGCTTTCTGCAAGTCTTGGAAAATTAGTATATTGATTGAGAAGGTTGAACAGACTTGTTGCCTCACAGAGAACCTTTCCAGCCATTAGTTAAAGCCTGGGCACAAAATAATGGCTGATTGTTTACTAAAAGCGACAAAAGCCACTCTTTGGATAAGAAAACTAAATAATTAAACGTAGTTTCTGTTCTTACATATTCAAATTAAAACCGTTATTAAACCAATTAGACTAATTTGTTGCTAATATTTACGCTCAAACAGCAGCACAGCAGCATGTAGTTGATTATTTACGCTGCTGCTATGGTAAAATTCAACTACCGCAGTGATTGGACAAAAGTATTCTGACAGACCTTTTCCATCTTTCCCAACCAATCCGAAATCGTTAAACCGACATTGAACCAATCAAATTGTACGCACCGCCCTTTTTTACGATAGCCCTACTCCAATTGGAGGAAAGCAATAAGGAACTATATTCAAAATCAGGCATACAGCTGTCGGCATATGGGTGGATACAGGGTATGTTGTCATTGTTAATTACCTAAATCGATGTTTATAAAAGATGAAGCGTTAAACGGTGTGTAATTTGTTTTAAGGGCCTCGGCTGTGCCTATCAGCGGCGAAGAAAGAGAAATGGCAGCAGTCGACGCTGGGCCTTAAAGAGTAAGATGGCACCAACGGCCCCTGAGTGAGTTTCTGCAAAACACAGTGTGGATTTACAGTGTTTTATTGTACAAAGAGTATGGGTTATAATTGATGGTCAATGTATTGTTTAGATGTAATTTGATATTGTAAACTCGTAACATACTGTTTGCTGAACGTGTTAAAAATATTTTCTATTTAACGTACTTGGGGAGAAAAACTGAAACTTTTAGCATGCATGCTGTCAGTTGCCTTGTTAAATGTTGTACACTGATTATGCAATGGCAAATAAACCCTATTTATGCCCTTGTTTAGAAAAAGTAATGATAAAGTTGATCAAAAATTGAACATTCAGTTCATCATTTTATTTAGGAGATGCATGGTTATTGTTTGTTTCAGATCAGCCAAATTTAAGTGCAAGTATATTTCCCGGTGCAAAATGCCATGCCAAAACATTTTACACACAATAAAATACAAAGCAGACAGTATGCATTTAAAAAAATGAGATAAATTTGGTTTTATATTCGCACATTCGTTCAGTGACAATTTGTGACATGCTTCCTATATTGTTTACCATGGTACTTTGAATATATTGAGGTGAAGTTGTTTATATATTAACACCTATATATCACAGTGTAAAAAAATGTGTGTGTATATATATATATATATATATATATATATATATATATATATATATATATATATATAATGATTTTCTATTTAAATGAACTAAGGTAATTGCAATTATTAGACTAAATTTATTGTTAGCACAAAATTCATGATTGTGACAGGCCTGTAAATGGGGTTTGTGTAAGCTAAATGTGTTATTCTAGACCAACTTTTATTTTTTGTGATCTTTCTCCCAGTCCAGACAGCAAAACAAAGGTGGTCGGTATGGGGGAAATGAGCATTCAAACCACTAAACGGTCTTCACCACTAAGTATTACAGCTCTGTTGTCTGCATTCAGAAGTGTTGTGCAAAAATGCAGGAGGACAATTTACCAAGTAAGTTTTTTTTTCCATTGATTCATGCCTAAAATAAAAGAAGCTTTCTGATTACTGACCTTTTTTTGTTTAGACTTGTAGAGGATTCTTTAATGTCTTCCTCTTCTGGAGAGGCTATGCAGAAAGAGTGGAGTCCCTTCACCAAAAAGTAGATGAGCTTCAGAGGGAATTGGCTCTATTGCATTCAACCTTGAAGGTTAGTACCACAAACGCATATGCACACTAAAATAAATATGCATAAACGTTATGTATCCTTGTGGTTAAAAACCTTTGCTGTACTTTGCTTTTTTATTTTGTCATTTAATAAACAAAACTCCAGTGCTCGTAATATTCATACAGTGTTACTCTTTAGCTGTCTCAAGAAGCCAAGACTTCAGATGGTCAGTGGGAAATGCCTGATGGTGTTCGTCCACTTGTCTCCCCTCCACCTCCTCCTCCTCCTCCTCCACCACCACCTCCTCTTCCTCCTCCACAAATTTTAGTCACCCTTCCTCCAAAAGTGGCCTCGTTTTCCAAGAAAACTGCACAAGCTAACTCTCTGAAGGTAATTGGCTGTTTCTACTGTCATTTACAACCTAATTAGAAAGGATTTTTTTTATAAAATGGCTATTTTTCATCTGTAGACCAGTTCAGTTTAAATCAGTTAAAGGGGAAAGTCTTTGTTTTTTAAAAATGTTATCATAGGTTGCCATGTCTCATAAAATCTGATTCCTTTATTAAATATTTAATTTCAAATATAAACTAGATCACGCATCCACATTGAAGCTTTAGGTGGGACTAATGATTTCCACCCAAGTAATAATCTTCTCCTCGCTAATAAAGTAGCGAAGGCGAAATTTTTTTATTTTTTTACCTTGTTTGTCAATGATATTTTGTGTTCTGGTACACCAAAAATAGCCGTTTCAACACTAGGTTTTATTTCTATATTAAACATTACATTACATTTTGACAATCTTAGTATCGGTTGAGTGTCCAAGATTTCCTTGATGTCGCATATTAGGATTTTTTCACACCGTCAAAGTGTCCAGTTTAGCATGGTTGATCAGTGCTGATGACAGTTCTTTGAATTTTTTTTTTTTGTAGCAGTTGAAGCAGCTAACCAAACTTTACAAACCTTTGCATTAACAGACAGATTTTTTGGTTAACATATGTAACGGAGGCCAGCTAGTAAGTGCTGTGCAAGTAAAACCTCACTCCTCTGACCTCTAAAGGTGCTCTAACGACAAACGCTAGAGGCCATGGTCTTTAGCCTCCTTGGTAGAGCAACCGACTCCCATGCAGAAGGTCACCGGCTCAATCCCAGCTCGGAGCGGGTTGGGTGGCGTAGGACCGACGGGGTTACATTGGTGCCGTGACCCGGATGGGAGTGAGGTTTTATGGGGGTGAGTGTAACGGAGACCAGCTAGTAGGTGCTGTGCAGGTAAACCTCACTCCTCTGATCTCTAGGTGCTCTAGCGACCGTTGCTAGAGGCCATGGTCTTTAGCCTCCTTGTTAGAGGCTAAAGGAAGGTTGCCAGTTCGATCTCAGCTCGGAGCGGGTTGGGTGGCGTAGGACCGGCGGGGTTACACATACAAGTTATGGAGGTTTTTTTTTTTTATTATTATTATTATTTAACAATTGCACACGTCTTCTAATAGGAGAAGCAAAATGGCCCCGTTGCAGTGACTCTTCGAGATCTTCAAGCTGTACAACTACGAAAAGTGACTGTAAGCCAAAAAACTCTGGTGAGGGAAAGATTGTTTTTAAGTTGTCCACTGAATCCTGCACTGGGTAGATGTTTATGATGTTTGTTTTTCATTTGCAGATGTCTCCAGAGAAAAGACGATCACCGTTGGTCACACTTGCAGATTTGCAGAAAGTTAAATTGCGACGCTCCAATTCTGACCTTCCCTTAAAGCTTAGGTCAAGCCTGAGGACACCAACCAAAAACGGCATGAGTCTTCGGGTACCACTAAGAAAAGTGAACTTAACCAGGTAAGATTTCCTTTATTTAATTTTGCTGGAATTTACCAGACATGCCTAAAGCCTGTGTGTGAAGATTAATAATTGTCCTGTTATGATCTCTCAGAAGTCCTGGTGGCACACCACGGTGTAACAAAGAGAACAATGTGACTGATTCAAGCCTGGATCCAAGCATGACCAAAGGGTTGGGAAACAAGTACCTGGTATGTAACCTTATATCAAGAGTCACCAAACTTGTTCCTGGAGGGACGATGTCCTGCAGATTTTAGCTCCAACCCTTATCAAACACGCCTAAATACGCTAATCAAGGTCTTACCAGGTATACTTGAAACATCCAGGCAGGTGTGTTGGGGCAAAATGGAGCTAAACCTTGCAGGGACACCGGCCCTCCAGAACCCCTGCATTATACCATAAAATAAATACTGGAATTTTAGGATTTAATTTTCACTTGTTATTAGGGCTCTGTTTACACCAGGCAATGGCGCTTTCAGTGATCTGATTGTAAATGTTCAGCCAAGATGCATAACCATTTTTAACTGGTGTTAACATGCATTTAAATGTGTTTCCTATGACCGCTTTTGCTGAGACTCTTCCCTTCATTTGTCAACCTTTCATCTACTCTTCTTCATGGCTGACTTCAGTTCAGTTTTCACCAGGTCAATCATATTATTAAATTAATGACAATAAACATGACAAGTACTAAAAAGTGCAAAGTTGACTGATATTAGCTTTCCACAAGTTTGTATGAGACTTGCAGAGTTTAGTTTAGTTAGTTTAAACTTTTTTGTCCGTTCTGCTTGACACAGAAAGGAAATTTGTCCTCAACACTGGATTTAGGACAACAATTACAAACATACAACAACGACACAATAACACTCATCAAGACAAAAACATAAGTTAAAAGTTTAAAAACCAAATTTGCCCCGTGCACAATACTGCAAATCATTCTTGGCGACCACCTCATTCACTACAAACATTAATCCGATTTAGAACTACAACTGCCATTGGGATAAATGACTTTTTATAAGCATTTCTTTGTACTTTAGGAATTCTAAACCTGCGTCCTGATGGTAGCAATTCAAATGCTGAGTGATGGGGATGTGTATTATCTTTAAAAATCACAACTGCTCTTTTTTTCCATAAAGGAGTCAAATAAAATCTGCAATGAATGCTGTTTGTGACCAGTTATCTTATTTGCCTGATTGATAATTTGCGCTAATTTCTTCTTCTGTTTAAGTGTTGTTACCAAACCATGAAACAATATTATATGTGAGAACACTCTCTATCAGTGATCTATATGCCAAGTTTAAAGTCTGTGTACTAACATTAAAACTTCTCAATTTGCGGAGGAGATAGAGGCGCTGACTTGCTTTCTTATAAACCGCCTCTACATTACTATTAAAATTCAGTTTATTGTCAATAATTGTGCATAAATACTTAAAATTTGAAACCTGCTCTACTATTTGTTCGTTTATGGTGACTGGTTTAAAGAGTCCAGTATCTACTCTTCTTGTTTGACTCCCCAGACATAACTCTTTTGTTTTCCCAATATTTAGGTGTAATTAACTTTTTCAGTTAATAAGTGATTTATTAGTTTTTTTTTATCTGATGCAAAGAAATCTCAGTTTGTGCTACAAAAAATAAACAATGTAAAAATCAAAGCTAAGAATAACACCGTCTTTTGGGTGTTGTTGCACACCAGATGCACCACAGTGCACTATGCATTCTAGAATTGTAAACCTAGATTTCTGTGGTATGCACATCGGCGCTGCAGTTCGGTGGCTTTCTGCTGCACCCAGCTTCAGCTCAAAGACCTGCCAAAGCCATAAAGCACCATCTGCATAGTTTCAAATTAAATAACATTATATGCTAGTAAATGCATTAAGGTTTCATTAGATAATGTATTTACTAGCATATAATGTTAAGTGTGACCATATACTCAGTTTAAACTGAAATATAAATTACACAGGGTGTTTAATTCTGTCATCACCCAGGCTAGCAAATCTTAGCTAAATAAATAATATTGCTACATGTAACAAGTTCCCTAAACAACAGATACAATAAAACTAAAGCATACTTAACAGTGCAGATTCTTTTCATTGAGTAGCTTTACGAACTCTGCTATTTTTGATAAACAAAATTAATAAATTATGCATTTAGAATGTGCAACTCTTCCAGTTGTCATATGCCCGACCAGTGTGCGACACCCCCCCCCCCTCCCTAGTTTGTTTACATTTTTAAATAAATGAATTTTATTTGTATTAATTTTTTGATTTGTTCATTATTTGATGATATTGATGTCTCGTGTCTTGAAATAAGTATTGTGAATCATATCAAATATTGATTTTTGGATTGTTACATGCCTAGTGTTCCTTCTCCTTTTTTATAGCTAGCAGAGAAAACATTGTGGATGCTACTAATATTATGATTTTGTAATCCGTGTGATTTGGTACAACACTATGAATGTGCGCGCTTTCACACAAAAATTACCATAATTTACAACATGAAAGCAATCCGTTTTAGATGCCTCTGGAAGTGATCTAAAGGACACAAATACAAATTTTATCCTCTTTCTAAACTATTAGACCATTTTTATAATGAATACACATTGATGGATGGTTTTTAACCCTCCATTTTAAGTCATTTAATAAAATATTGAAGGGGTGGCATGATGGCTCAGTGGTTAGCACCGTCGCCTCTCAGCACGAAGGTCACTGGTTCAAGTCCCTGCTGGACCAGTTGGCATTTCTGTGTGGAGTTTGCATGTTCTTCCCGTGTTGGCGTGGGTTTCTTCTGGGTGCTCCAGTTTTCCCCACAGTCCAAAGACATGCGCTATAGGTGATTTGAGTAAACTAAAATGGCTGTTGGGTGTTTCACAGTACTGGAAGGTTATCAGCTGTGTAAAACATGCTGGATAAGTTGGCATTCCGCTGTGGTGACCCCTGATGAATAAAGGGACTAAGCCAAAGGAAAATGAATGAATGATAACAAATATTGAATTGAAAAATCATGTTTAACTTTTTAATATACAGTTTTTGTGAATTTTATGAAAATTTGTTTCTGTATTATTTCTTATTGAAATATGAAGTTTTCCAAGTTGTTCTTATCATGTAATGTTTTTTTATGAATATTTGTCTTGCTATAAAATAGCCATAAATTGCTGATATAGCAATAAATAAATCTTCTTTCTAGCTATTTTTAGTGTTGTCAACTTATGAATGTATTTAAAAAAAAAACGCATCTTAATAGCAGGTGTGAATTGTGCACATGTTACACTCAGAGCTTCATTTTATCACAGTATAAATCACAAATTGATCTTATTTCTATTTGTGTTCAACTTTACAGAATTCTCTGACAAAAGGACTGTCACCATTCAAGTGTGCCTAAAGAAAAAATGAACTATATTGTTACTGCACATTGTGCTCGCATGGTTAGTATTGTCTTGTTTTTGAGTGTTTTTACATGTTTACTGTGACCTGCTAATAGCTTCCATTGGTTCTCATACTGTCATGTTGCTATAGTATTTTTTTTTTTAGTGACAGGACGGTATTTTGTTACTTGCTGCTGCTGTTTTTGTCTTATTGCATGTGAAATGTGCTACTTTTTTCTTTTTTTTAATCTGAATTTTTAAGCCGTGCTTACAAGCGTAAAGAAAATGCACTGTATAAATACTGAATGTACAAAAGCATGAGCATATGCATGGTTCTCTGTATAATTATGCAGTTTATTGTCACTGTTACCTAAAATGATCCTGGATTTGTGAACCGAACCCACTGTACAATATAGTACATGATGCTTTGTGTTGAGACAAGATCCAAAAACCCAGTACTGTTGGTGCTTTATGTCTTGATGTTTTATTTTAAGGGTCTTATGCAATATCTCTCTAAAGCCACAATTATTTGTATGCAAAAGTATTGCAGTAATGGAAAACGTTTAATAAATATTGGACCTATACATATTGTGTGTGCATCTTTTTGGGTTACAAATGAGTGGATTTAGGCAAGGCAAGTTTATTTATATAGTAAGTTTCATACACCATGGTAATTCAAAGTGCTTTACATAAACCAGAATAAATGTGTAATATGGAATAAAATGATTAAAAACAGATTAAAATGTGCTAAAACGGGTTATAAAAGAATTTAAAAAAAGTAAAAACAATAGTGTGATCTGTCGGACGTAGCACAGTCAGTGCTCATTCAGTAAAGGCACAGCTTAACAGATGTGTTTTCAGTCTTGATTTGAATGTGCCTAATGTTGGAGCACATCTGATCGTTTCTGGAAGCTGATTCCAGCAGTGAGGGGTGTAGTGTTTTTTTTTTGTTTGTTTTTTTTCCCTCCCCTGCTTTGACTGAACTCACTGAGTTTCTAATTTACTTGATCCTAATGATGTGACTGATCTGTGTGGTTTGTATTCAGTGAGCATATCTGTAATGGATTGAGGTTCTAGGCCATTTAGTGATTTATAGACAAGTAATGATACTTTAAAGTCTATTCTGAATGTAACTGGGAGCCAGTCTAGAGACCTGAGGACAGGTGTGATGTGCTCTGATTCAGAATCCTGGCAGCAGCATTCTTGATGAGCTGCAACTGTCTGTCTGCCTTTTTGGAAAGGCCCGTAAGGAGGATGTTACAGTAATCCACCCTGCTGCTGATAAAAGCATGAACAAGTTTCTCTAAGTCCTTAATGGGAACAAAGCATCAAATTCTTTAAATGGACAATGTTTTATTTCTGGCACATGTTTTGCTTTATACTAATATATTAGATTATATTTATTTATTTATTGTTACATTTTACATTAATTGACTACCTGTTGTTTCTATTAGCTTTTTTTACTATCTTCTTTTTCTAATTTGAGTTGGCTGGATTGTGTGTGTTTGTGTGTGTGTGCCAACATACCCTCAACCCATCCAAGATACATAAGCTTATATATAAGATATATAAGCTGCATCTCCATCAATGAATATGTCAGCTTTTTCAAATTTCGTTATGACAGTACATGATGCCCAAGTTTTAAAGCTCAGAAAAGCAAATACAAAATAAAAGTAATCCACATGACTCTAATGGGTTAATTACTGTCTTCTAAAGTCAAGTGATTGTGTAAAAAAAAAAAAAAAGATGAATGGATGTCCTTTTGGGGGATTCAGAATATCGAGCACTGTCCACTGCCATTACAAAGCCATGTAAGTGAAGTTAGATAAATACAACACATCAACTGAAACAGTAGAGAGAATACAGAATAATTTAACATCTAACCATATTTTGTTATCTGTAGCCTGAAAGTAATTGTTTAAATCAAAGAACCACTATAGTGAAAAAAATACTATAGTAAATTGTAGTGAATGCTTAGTAGCCATACTATAAAAAAAATACTTGAATTAATCTGGTGTGGTACTTGCTGTGGTAATTACAATACTCTACTGTTCTATAACTGTTGGGTTTATACTACCATACAATAGTTTTACTGTAGTAAAAGCTGAAAAAGTATACTACAGTATTTATTAGTTCAGTATAGTACTACAGTATGCTGTAACGGTGATTAATAAAGCGTTCTAAATACTACAACATGAACAATATACTATAGTATGGATTATAAACTATATGTACTAAAATACTCTAGTATTTGGGAGAATTACGTTACGCAAAAGGAAACAAAAACTTTAGATATTTAAAAAATAATACATTTAATTAATGCTGATTTATATTTATAATATTATGACAAAACTATATATTATGTTGCAAGTATATAAGACCCTGGATTGACTTCATATATAGAGAAACATATGTGAGACATATTACTGTGCAGATGATGTATCCACCCGGACTCAAATATGTGCGTTCACTATAAGCGCCGCCCCTTTGTTTCTGTCCCGCAAACATGGCGGTGCCTATGAACATCAAAGCGCTGTTACAGTCAGAAATAATAGAAGACGCCGCCGACAAGGATGAGGGTGTCTGCGTTTTGGGCATATTTGGGAAAAGCGCAATGCAACCCGGATCAGCTAAAGACTCTCTCATCAACACCTTGGCAAATAAACACATCTTCTCTCTCTTCGGGAGCGACGACACTGACAGTCCGGGCGGAGGAGCTGCAATACAGGCGTATTATAATCAAGAAAACCGCGTGCTGTATCTCGTATTAACGTCTGTTTTTGACAACCGCCATCTTATTCGTGCGTGCGAGTCTTTGACGGTAGGTCTAGGTCACGCAGAAGCCCACGAGTTTTGGAAAGCGGCAGAAAAAGAGCACTGTTTGCAGCTTCTGTATCTGTTTTCACTATGTCACATTCTGCTGCTCGTTCACCCGACGTGCTCGTTTGACGTTAGCTATGATAGAATGTTTCGCGCTTTGGACGCGTTGCGTCAGAAAGCGCTTCCTCTGCTGCGTGCGGCCATTAAAGATTCGCCAATATCAAAGGAGTGGAAGTTAAATTGTCGCCCGTGTCCTCCGCGCCTCCTGTTTGTCTTCCAGATGAACGGAGCGCTCAGAGTTGGCTCTTGCATGGGTGGGAATGGGACTGATGGCACTGGGGTGGAAAAACCCAAAAAACACTCTCCTAGACGGCGAATGCAGCATGCTTTGGAGGATCAGATATACAGGATATTCAGAAAAAGTCGTGTGTTGACAAACCAGAGCAGTAATTGTCTCTTTACAGTGCCTGCCAATCAGGCTTTTGTATATGTAGTGGGAGGACCAGATGAGGACCCCATTGGCACTCTGTTGGGTCACTTACGCTCCAATTGTGCTTTTCGAGAGAATGAAGGTGGCACACCTGTGCCCGGGCAGAGGCGTTACCAACAGATGAGGCACTCCAACAGACAGCCATCTTTCAATGTGGAAAGCAGTCTTTCCTCAGGGGGACAGTTGGTGGACTGCACCCTAAAGGAGTTTCTCTGGCAGCATGTTGAACTGGTGTTGACCAAGAAAGGGTTTGATGATAGTGTAGGCCGCAATCCGCAGCCCTCACACTTTGAGCTGCCTACCTACACCAAATGGGTGCACGCTGCATACAAGCTTTATCAGGTCATGATAGAGAGTGTTGAGGAAGACGCAGCCGAGATTTCCCTCAAGGTGCAGGGGCAGCTCAAAGTGCTGGAGGGCTTCCTGGATGCGGATGCCAAGTTCTCTGAGAACCGCTGTCAGAAAGCCTTGCCCTTGGCTCACAGCGCCTACCAGTCAAACCTGCCCCATAATTACACCACCACGGTGCACAAGAATCAGCTGGCGCAGGCGTTGAGGGTGTACAGCCAGCATGCCAGGGGGGTTGCTTTTCAACGCTACGCTTTACAGCTTCATGAGGATTGCTACAAGTTCTGGAGTAACGGGCATCAGCTCTGTGAGGAGCGCAGCCTTACGGATCAGCACTGCGTACATAAGTTTCACCTGCTGCCAAAGCCTGGTAAAGTTACACGTCATGGGTTACATCTGCATTTGTGTATTTGCAGTGGTGGAAAGAGTACTGAAAATCATACTCAAGTAAAAGTACCATTTCTTCCCCAAAAATGTGCAAGTAAAAGTATCTGTGTAAATGTTATTCAAAGTATGAGTAAAAGGTAGCCCTTTTAAAAGTACTCAAGACTTAGTAGTGAGGATGGGAAAGATTGCAGCGTTTACATGTAATTTGTGGGTGTATGTGTAAACGTAACATTCTGTAGAGCCTTTAGTAATTGTTTAAGGCCATTTAAGGTCATCATACAGTAAACATCCGTCATCAGTGACATCCAGTTTGATGCCATTTACTTTCTATGTGTGATTTCATTGGACAGGAATAGCAGGATTGATTTTTCTAATCCCCATAGACAGGAATTAATAAAGTAGTGACTGCAGGTTGAAGGAAAGTATGGAGTAAAAATTAAAGTACACATTTTTAAAAGTACTTACTAAATTACAATTTCTGAGGAAAAACTACTCCATTACAGTAATTTGAGTATTTGTAATTTGTTACTTTACACCGCTTTGCATTTAGCAGATTAGGATAAAGATGTCTCATTGAATTTACAATTTTGTTTGTAAACAGTTATAAGTTGACCATTACTAAATTATTTTAATTTGTTTGTTTAAATTGATGTAAATAGAGAATAAAAATATAAATTGTTTACAACCAGTTACCTTAAATTTAGTAACTCCGATAAATATTTTTTTCCAGCCTGCCTTTTCGAAATTGACTTCAGTTTATAAATCGTATTTGGTCATCTGTTTCCTGGGATCTCTTTTTTTTTTTGTCTGTGTTCTGTTTAACTGCTAAATTGTTTGTGGAGTCAGAGTTATTCTTTTGTTAATAAACAAACAGAATCGATCAGAATACAAAACAAACAATCAGAATACACTATTCTGTACCTCATCTACCTCTGTTGTTCCTTATATTTCAGGTGAGAAGCCAGAAATGGAGCACAACCCACCTATTCTATACCACAACAGCAGGGGTCGCTCTACAAGCTCCTGTAACTGTGGTAGGAAGCAGTCTCCGAGAGAAGATCCCTTTGACATCCAGACTGCCAATTATGACTTCTATCAAGTCAGTAAATATAGTTTGTTTTTTTATACCATAAATATTCACTACACAGGATTTGGATCTATTAAAATGTTTTTATTTAATAATGATAATAATTGCGAAGCTGACTTAGGCTTGTGATGTCATCTATATTTTTCTGATCTCTGATGATATAAAGTAGTGATGGGAGAAACTAAGGCTGTTTCTCAATTCCAAGAACTCAGAGAACAGACTTGCGTTCTTGTGGAGAGCGGTCTTGCCAAATGTCCTCGGAAGAACGAACTCAGAAGACCACGAGAACAGAGTACGTGTCCTTTGAGAAATGAGATGCTGCGTATTTCTTGATGTTCACTTGACCTTCACGTGTTTTAATGGAAAATTATTTAAACATTACAGCGTTTATACAACGATTTATTGCTTTTCCCTATTTCAATATATATACTATACACAAAGACCTTATAAAT